CACCCTGGCCAGGCAGCTGGCCCCTCCGGGCCTAGTTTCCCTGCTTACCCTGAGGCCCCACCCAGCGCTGAGCCCCCAGCAGCTCCAGAGGCTCGGGCACCCTGGCTGAACTGCCCCATCTCTGTGGGGTGCCCTCCCAGGGTGGGGAGCCAGGTGACAGTGGGAGGGCCTCTCTCAGGCCCGGCAGGGAGCAGAGTCACAACCGTGCTGGCTGAGGGTGGTCTCAGAAGTGGACCTGCAGGCCTAACCCTCCCTGCTGACGGGGCTCCCAGCCCTTGAGAGGAACGGGGATAGAGGAACAGCTGCCCCAAAGCCGTTGCCCACCGGCAGCAGGCTCTGCAAACCAAGGGGGAGCCTCAGCGTGGCCCCCAGCACATGTGCTGATGGGAGGGTCCGGCTGAGCTGGTGCCCAGGCAGATGGTCTGGGCCTGTCTCCCCAGCGAGGCAGGCGGGGACTGGATTTCAGACTCTAAGATGCCCCTGGCTTACCCGAGGGGCCTGGACGTTGCCCTCCAGAGAGAGCACCCAACACCCTCCAGCCTTGGCCAGCCAGGGTGCCCCCTTGCTACCTTGGAGAGAGCAGCCCCAGGGCATCCTGCAGAGTGGCTGGGATATCGGCTGGCCTTCAAGGCCTCTCCCTCCCTCCAGCTGCCCCACCACACTCTGCTGGGATCCTGGCTCTCAGCTCCCAGGGCCGACAACCCGGGCAAACTCCTACTCATCCGTGAAGGCCCTCCCAGGCACGGCAGTCCTTCCCAGCCTGGCAGTCTGTTCCTCACACACTTTGTCGGTGCCCAGCCCCTGAAGTTGCACCTGGGGGTGTCTCTGAAGGGCTGTGAGCCTCAAGGACGCCCTGGGAAAGTGCCTGCCTTGCCTCCCCCCAGCCCTGCCAACCCCTGGCTCTGCCCTCCCACCTGGGTACCCCCAATCCAGCCTCCCTCCTTACACACCCCTCTTAAGGAGGCACCCATGCCTTCTCCCGCTGCTGGGCCTCAGAGCATGGTGGCGTCCTGGGGCGGCCCCTGCATGTCCTGCTGTGGCATGGCTCGGGGTGGAAAGGGCGGAAGGGAGGGGCCCTACAGACAGCTGGTGCCCACTACCAAACCTGCTCGGGGCAGGAGAGCCTAAGGCTGGGTGTGTGCAGGGCGGCCTCGAGAGGTTCCGAGGCTGAGGCCAGGGTGGGACATAGGGATGGGAGGGGCCAGCGCACAGGATGCTCCAACCTGCCTGCCCCCATGGTCCCGCTCTCCTGCTGCTGGGACCTCCTGATCCTGCCCGTGGTGCTAAGAGGCAGGTAGGGGCTGCGGGCAGCAAGGCTCGGAGCCCATGTCCCCTCACCATGGGTCAGGCTGGGCCTCCACGTGCCTGTCCTGGGGGGCTGGGAGGGCCGGAGGGGTGCACCCCAGGGGCTCAGCCCAGATGACACTATAGGAGTGATGGGGTCGTGGGGCCTGGCCAGGAGAGGGGAGATGAGCGGGGGCTCCCAGAAGAGGAGTAGGGGGCTGAGAGGGTGCCTGGGGAGCCTGGACGGAGCTGGGCCAGCGCACAGCCTCCCATACCTGCCCATGGAGTCCTGCCGCCACCCCCAGATCACATGGAAGATGAGGTCCGGGTGGCCTGCTGGGGACTCGCTGTTCGTCCCCACGTCCCTGGGTCGTGCCCTCCTTCTGCCACCCTGGGGAGCTGAGGGCCTCACCTGGGGCTGCTGTCCTAAGGCGGGTGGGAACTGGGCAGCCAGCAGGGAGGGGACCCTTCCTCACTCCCCCACCACCGCCACCTTGGGCCACCCATGGGGGCATCTTGGGCAACCAGGGACTGAGAACAGGGGTCCCGAGGACAGGGGGTCTGGGGACAGTGGCGCAAAGAGCCCCGCCCTGCAGCCCCAGCTCTCCTGGTGTAATGTGGAAAGTGGGCCGGGGAGGGCTTTGCTCTGCTGGAGACATTGGCCCCCAGCTGCGAGCAGGGACAGGCCTGGCCACCAGGCCCCTGGTTAAGACTCTAATGACCCGCTGGCCCTGAGGAAGAGGTGCTGACGACCAAGGAGATCTTCCCACAGACCCAGCACCAGGGAAATGATCCGGAAATTGCAGCCTCAGCCCCCAGCCATCTGCTAACCCCCCCACCCCAGGCCCTAATGGGCCAGGCAGCAGGGGGTGGCAGGCAGGGGAGATGGGCTCTGAGACTATAAAGCCAGTGGGAGCCCAGCAGCCCTCAACCCTCCGGGACAGGCTGCATCAGAAGAGGCCAGCAAGCAGGTCTGTTCCAAGGGCCTTCGCGTCAGGTGGGCTCAGGGCTGCCCCACTTGGGGGTTCCAGGGTGGCTGGACCCCAGGCCCCAGCTCTGCAACAGGGAGGACATGGCTGGGCTCTTGAAGCGTTTGGGGGTGAGCCCAGGGGCCCCGGGGCAGGGCACCTGGCCTTCAGCCGGCCTCAGGCCTGCCTGTCTCCCAGGTCACTGTCCTTCCGCCATGGCCCTGTGGATGCGCCTCCTGCCCCTGCTGGCGCTGCTGGCCCTCTGGGGACCTGACCCGGTCCCGGCCTTTGTGAACCAGCACCTGTGCGGCTCCCACCTGGTGGAAGCTCTCTACCTGGTGTGCGGGGAGCGAGGCTTCTTCTACACACCCAAGACCCGCCGGGAGGCAGAGGACCCTCAGGGTGAGCCCCACCGCCCAGCGCTGCCCCTGGCCGCCCCCAGCCACCCCCTGCTCCTGGCGCTCCCACCCAGCGTGGACAGAAGGGGGCAGGAGGCTGCCACTCAGCAGGGGGTCAGGAGTACTTTTTTAAAAAGAAATGAAGTTCTCTTGGTCACCTCCTAAAAGTGACCAGCTCCCTGTGGCCCAGTCAGAAGCTCAGCTTGAGGATGGTGTTAGCTTCGGCAGCTGAGCCGCAAGATACATCAGAGGTTGGGCACGTTCCTCCCTCCACTCGCCCGTCAAACAAATGCCCCACAGCCCGTTTCTCCACCCTCATTTGATGACCACAGATTCAAGTGTTTTGTTGAGTACAAGTCCTGGGTGACCTGGGGTCACAGGGTGCGCCACGCTGCCTGCCCGAGTGGGCCAGACCCCTGTCGCCAGGCCTCATGGCAGCTCCGTAGTCAGGAGATGGGGAAGATGCTGGGGACAGGCCCTGGGGAGAAGAACCGGGGGCACTCGTTCAGGCTCCCACTATGGCACCGCCCTGGGGCGGGGGAAGGAGGTAGGACATGTGGGCATTGGGGCCTGTGGGTCCACACCCAGTGTGGGTGACCCTCCCTCTAACCTGGGCCCAGCTTGGCTGGAGACGGGTGGGAGTGTGACCTGGGGCTGGTGGGTAGGTGGGCACTATCTCTCCCTGACTGTGTCCTCCTGTGTCCCTCTGCCTCGCTGCTGCTCCGGGACCTGCTCTGCACGGCCCGCCCTGGCAGTGGGGCAGGTGGAGCTGGGCGGGGGCCCCGGCGCAGGCAGCCTGCAGCCCTTGTCGCTGGAGGGGTCCCTGCAGAAGCGCGGCATCGTGGAGCAGTGCTGCACCAGCATCTGCTCCCTCTACCAGCTGGAGAACTACTGCAACTAGATGCGGCCCGCAGGCGGCCCACACCCTCCACCTCCTGCACCAAGAGAGATCGAATAAAGCCCTTGAACTAGCCCTGCTGTGCCATCTGTGTGTCTTGGGGGCCCTGGGACAGGCCCCGCTTCCGGGCACTGTTGTGAGCCCCTCCCAGCTCTCTCCACGCTCTCTGGGTGCCCACAGGTGCCAATGCTGGCCAGGCCCAGCATGCAGTGGCTCTCCCCAAAGCAGTGATGCCTGTCGGCTGCCTGCTACCCCCACCCTGTGGCTCAGGGTCCAGTATCAGAGCTGGGGGGGGGTCGCTGAGAGGCCAGGGGTGGTGGGACCACTGAGAAATGACTTTTTGTTCAGTAGCTCTGGACCCTTGGAGTCCCCAGAGACCATGTTCAGGAAAGGGAATGAGAACATTCCAGCAATTTTCCCCCACCTAGCCCTCCCAGGTTCTATTTTTAGAGCTATTTCTGATGGAGTCCCTGTGGAGGGAGGAGGCTGGGCTGAGGGAGGGGGTCCTGCAGGGCGGGGGGCTGGGAAGGTGGGGAGAGGCTGCCGAGTGCCACCCGCTATCCCCAGCTCTGGGCAGCCCCGGGACAGTCACATACCCTGGTCTCGAGGCCCAAGCTGGCAGCTGTCTGCAGCCACAGCCTATGCCAGTCCAGGCCCAGCCAGACACCTGAAGGACCCACTGGTGCCTTGGAGGAAGCAGGAGAGGTCAGATGGCACCATGAGCTGGGGCAGGTGCAGGGACCATGGCAGCACTGGGCAGGGCCTCAGAACCCACACCTGGGGCACCCTGGCCATAAGGCCCTAAGGATTGCAGCCCAAGAGGACCAGGGAACCACCAGGGCCACAGAGGCAGAGACCAGGGCCAGGGTCCCTCCCTCTCCCAGAAAGCAGGGCCGCTTGGCTGGCTTCCTTTGCTACAGACCTGCTGCTCACCCAGAAGGGCTGATGGGCCCTGGTGATAAGGTCATTCTGACTCCAGGTCCTTGGGGGTCCTGACACGCAGCCTCTTCTTCAGCACCCCTGAGCACAGGGTGGCTCTGCTGGGCATTCAGCCTAGTGGGCAGACGAGAACCCAGGGGCTGCCTGGACCTACTGTGGCCTGGGAGGTCAGCGGGTGACCCCAGCTACCCTGTGGCTGGGCCAACCTGCCTGCTGCCCAGGCCAAACCAATCTGCACCTTTCCTGAGAGCCCCACCCAGGGCTGGGCTGGGGATGGCTGGGCCTGGGACTGGCATGGGCTGTGGCTGCAGACCACTGCCAGCTTGGGCCTCGAGGCCAGGAGCTCACCCTCCTGTTAGGGACCTGGCCACTGGGGCAGCCCTGTCCCTGAAGCTCTGAGCTCACCCCTTCCCCATGACCACATCAGCCCCCTCCACCCAGAGATGTCACAGCCCCCAGCTAGCCCCGCCTCCAGAGTGGGGGCCAAGGCTGGGCAGGCGGGTGGACGGCCGGACACTGGCCCCGGAAGAGGAGGGAGGCGGTGGCTGGGATCGGCAGCAGCCGTCCATGGGAACACCCAGCCGGCCCCTCTCGCACGGGTAGAGACAGGGGCGCCCTGCTGGAGCTGAGGTATGTGAGCTCGCGCGGGGCTGGGCCAGAGCAGGACCTGGTGGGTCAGCTGGGAGGCTGCCCACCAGTTGGTCATTGGCCAAGCTGTTGCCCTGGCTGAACCTGATGGCCAACAAGGTCGTAGGGAGTGATGGGCAGAGGCCTGTTCTGGGAAGGGAGGGTCAGTGCTCTGTGGGGGACCATGTGTTGGAGTGGAGGGCAGCAGGAGGAGCCCTTGGGTGTCCAGGGACTCCTGGAACCACCCCAGCCTTCCGGGACTTGCAGAGCAGCTGGCACTGGCTGGTGCTAGGGCTGAGGAGTGTCCTTTGAGGGGCCAAATTTTCTGTGACCTCTGTCCTGGGGGACTTCTGGCCTGAGGCCTCAGGAGAGGGCAAGGCTGCCCACCCAAAAGAGACGCAGCCATGGTTCAGGGAACCCTCAGCTGCCCTGGGCCAGAGCTGGGGCCAGTTTTCACCTTGTTGAGACCCAGGACTCTGTCGCCCAAGCCTGTCTTCTCCAGCACCTGACCCCACCCCCCACACACTGTGTCCTAGAAAAGGTGGACACGGGAGACCAGAGCCAGGGCAAGGGATCACCCCTCCATCCCCCCAGGCCCAGTGAGAAGCAGCTGGCCAAGGTGATCCAGGTGCAGAGAGAGCATTAGATCCAGTTTCCTGTCAGGCACCACCTTGGGCACTGGTCCCCAGATGCCCTGACTGGGGAGCATGGATGCTCCCGGAGCCCCCAGGTCACCCCATGTGAGCCAGGCCCACAGAGCTTGGCTCTGCAACACCTGCTGGGCCGCTGCCTATGCTCCGCCCCTTCTGGGAAGTTAAAAGACAGCCCTTCAGTGTCCAGAGACCTGCCTGGCCTTGGAACCTGGGCTCCACACGCCCACCGGGCTGGCAGGGGCACTCAGCTGCCTCCAGCCCTGGTGGTCACCCTGGCGTTGGGTGCATCTAACTGCTCCCCAGTCACAAAGCAACTGCTCCCCAAGGCTCCCCAAACCTGCCGGCCCCCCTAGAAGCCTCTGCCCATTCCTGGAGGACTGAGGGCAGCCTGCAGTCCATCCCGCACACAGCCTTCTGTCTGGGCATCCCGCCTTCACATGTGCTGAGCAGGCAGGAAACTCTTGTACCACGTTCCTTAAGCAGAGACTGAAACCTGGAACCAGGCACATGGCACGTGCCCCCACCCACCCAGGACACACTGCGGTGTGGCTGCCTCCAGGCTGGCTCCCTGGATTACGTCTGCTCCTGGCATGGATAACTGGCACCTTTGCCTGGCCGTTGGGGCAGTGTTTGCCTTCCCCTGTCGGCAGCAAATATTTACTGTCCTCCCTGTCTCCAGGCCTGAGCAGACCCTGGGGGGATGAGAGTGGACTCAGGGGTGCTGAGGGTACCCTCCTGCCCTTCAGGTCCTGGTGCCCAGCAGGGGTCCAGCCCAGGGAAGACAGTGAGGCCAAGACAGGTGGTATTTAAGCCTGAGCTGCTGGGAAAGGTAGCCCTGGGCAGAACTTGGGCGGAACATTGGCCAGTGTCTGTCTCCAGCCAGGCTATGAGGTAGCTTGTTCCGGGATGGGCACCTTTCCACTCCCAGCACTGTGGCCAGGAGCCGCCATTCACAGGTGTGACCAGCAGATGGCATCAGAGCCTCACTTTTGATGCACTCCGGTCACCAGCCACGGGTCCAGGCTCCGGCCGCCACCCAGGGTCTGAGCAGCTGCATCCTGCCCCTGCCGGGCACTCCCAGGGGCTGTGGGGCCTGTGGGGCCTGTGGGGGCCCTGCCGGACACTCTTGGGAGCTGTGGGGGGGCCTGCTGGGCACTCTGAAGAGCGTGGGGCTTAGGAATGAGAGGAGGCATCTGATGATGATGAGGGGGTCCACCGAGGCCCCCGGCCTGCTCAGGTCCAGTCTCGGCCCCCAAGTCAAGCCTCAGGCCAGCTTCTCACTGGCCTGGGTTTCTCAGAGGGCCGGGACAAACGTCCTGGGTCTCTAATATTCCGAGACAGCCTCTGGCTAGACTCTGAGCCCCACCTGCGGGCCCTAGAATCACAGAGAGCCAGGGTGAAAAGACCAGGGGGACTCCGTCCCATCCTCGTCATGGCTGAGCCCACCGTGGCCGGAGGTGGACCGGGCCCTGGGTTTTGCTGACGGTCCCCAGGGCCCCTGGGGGCTACTGAGGCTGGAGGCCAGCGGCGGCCAGGGGGCTCCATCCCTCAGCCACTCCAGTCGGAAGGTCGAGTCCTGGTTCCCATGTGAGGAGGGGGCTTCAGGGACTGGGACCTGGGGGCACGGAAGGCCTGGAACTGGGGTCCGGGCGGCTCAGGGTTAGCGTGTTCCCACGCTCTCCTCCACCAGCACGGCGAGGAGAGGGAGGTCCACTCTGGAAAGAATGTTTGGGGGCAGGGGTAGACAAGGTCTGGGAACGCGGAGATGACACACTGGGGTGCCGCCTCCGCACCCTCCGCCCTTCCTCCCACTATTGTTTCTGGCCTCGGCCGCAGGAACAGCAAGGCAGATTCCTTCGAAAGTGGGGCCGGCCGGAGGCGGTACCCCATCGTCCCTCTCTCGGTCCAGCCGCGCTGTGCTGGCGCCAAGCTCCCTGCCGGCCTCCCACCCGCTCCTCCGCGTCCTCAGCTCACTCCCCTGCTCCCAGGTGGCCCCAGTCCCCACCCCACCTCGCTTGGACTCCCCACTTCCTGCCCATCTGCTGCTGTCGAGTGACATCCTCCTTGACCCCAGGGACTGCTGAGGCAGCCTCCAAGCCTCCCAGTGTCCCTGAGGCTGCCCCTAGAAGCTGGCTTGGGGCTGTACCAAAAGTCACCCCACAGTCCCCACTTTCCAAGGCAGGGAGATAGCAGAGATCTCAGGGTGCCTGTGGACCGAGGACTAAGTCAGAGTCGGGGTCCCTCAGGCCGAGGGAAAGATAGGTGGTGCCTGCCAGGCTCTCCTCACCCAGGGAGGCTGAGAATGTCTAGACCCAGGTGGCTGTGACCCCTGGGCAGTGTCACAGGGCTGCTGAGGGCTGCGCCAGAGCCAGTCCCGCCCTTGCCAGGGATGGAGACCGGCCTCGAGGAGGCCCGGCCCTGGGGGTCTGCAGGCCTGTAGGCTTTGGGGAGGCTCTGCCCCCTGCCCCCTGCAGCCCAGGCTGCTGAGTCATCAGAACCTCGGGGGCGCCGCGGGCCCCACATTCCGCCCAGGCCTCTCTCTGACCCCCTTCCCAGCCCATCTGTGTTTTTGGAAAACAGAGCCAGAGCCCCCCACGGCCCTGCCAACTTGCGGCTGCTCACGCTGGGACTCAAATCGCACCCTTCTGTCTTCAAAGTCCACCTTCACTTCAAAGCTCGGTCCCACCCCAGCCCAGCCTCCACAGGGCCACCACCTGCCCACATCCAGGCCTGCTGCTGCCCAGCTTCGGAGGGACCTTGGGCATCCCCTGATCCTCTCTAGAGCACAGGACCCCTGGCATGGGCCCATTACACACGGGTGGCTGGGTGGGTGGTGAGGACGGGGCTGGGAGGAGATCCTGGGGACCCCATGGTGGAGGCGATGAGGCTCCCAAACCCCGACTCCGGGGATGGCTGCTTGGTCTTCCATTGGGCCCTCCAAGCCCTGACCTCCAAGGTGCAAGGAAAGCTTTCAGGGGCAGGGGCGAGTGGAAGGTGGGCTTCCTGCCTTGCCACCCGGGCGGTGGGCCCAGGGCAGATGCTCCATGGGCACTTCCCAACCTAGGCCCAGCTGTGGGGAAGGAGGGAGCAGGCGGCCAGGCTCCAGGTAGGGGGAGGAGTTGCCTGAGAACTAGGGGAGAGAGGGAGGGCTGGGGCACCCCATGCCAGCTCCAGCTGCACCACCAGAGCTCAGAACAGAGCAGGCAGGAGCCAGCAAGCTGAGAGGCTTCCTGAAGGAGGTGTCCCAGACCCTGCCAGCACTGCAGCCTTAAGCATGAGTCCACGCTGGGCTCCCACTGCCAGGGGCGCAGACCCAGCCCAGCACTGCCCATGCTCCCTCGTCAGAGACCCATACGGAATTAGCACCTGGGTCCTTCCCCCTGGCTGGGCATGGGCTGGCCCTGACAATGAAGAAGGGGTAGCTGTGGCCTCAAGGTCTACAACGGGCTGATCTGTGGGTGCCAAGAAGCCACAGGCCCTCAGTGTCCACAGGGCCAGTGAGTGTCCACCCGGGCCAGTGTGGGGTTGAAGGGTGAGAGCTGGTAGGCGGCGTTGACGTCCTGGCTCTGCTGCTGGTGGCTGTGTGGCCTTGGGAAAGTCCCTTAGCATCTCTGGGCCTTGGTTTCCTCATCTATCAGAAGGGAATCAAAGGAGCCCCTGCCTGCCTCGGCTGCCGGGTGGTGTAGCTCAGTGGTGTCTGTGAGCGGCAGCCCTCGAGCAGCTGTGCCTCTGGCTTCAGTACACACATGAGCTGCTTTCTGGGCCTTCAAATTACGGGGACAACCCCGTGGGTGTGTTTCACGTCTGGGTACCACAGCAAGGGGAAGCTGACATGTCCTCCGTGGGAAGTGACAGTCCCCATGGCTACCGGGCACGAACAGGATGTGCGGAAGGGACCTTTCAGGGAGGAGCAGCTCCCCGAGGGAGGAGCCCGGGGCTGGGATATGGAGGCCTCTGCACATCTTGGAGTAAAACAAGCAGGAGGGGCTGGGTGCGGTGGCTCGTGCCTATAATCCCAGTAATTTGGGAGGCTGAGGCGGGCAGATCACCTGAGGTCAGGAGTTTGAGACCAGCCTGACCAACAGGGAGAAACCCCATCTCAACTAAAACTATAAAATTAGCCGGGCGTGGTGGCACGTGCCTGTAATCACAGATACTCAGGAGGCTGGGGCAGGAGAATCGCTTGAACCTGGGAAGCAGAGGTTGTGGTGAGCCGAGATGGCGCCATTGCACTCCAACCTGGGCAACGAGAGCGAAACTCCGTCCCGAGAAAAAACAAAAACAAAGAAAATCAAAACAAAAAAACCAGCAGGGGGGGGCTCTGAGGTGCCTGCAACACCCAGGTGCCATCCGTGGTCCTGAGGCCCACCATCGGGAAGGGGCCTTTGCAGCTCTTTCAACCCCCAGCCCAGCTTCCAAGGAAGCCCAGGGCAGGGAGAAACCTCAGCGGCACCATCAGAGCTCAGAACAGAGGAGCAGAAATGAGCAGGGAGTGGGGCCAGGGAGGCGTCCTGGAAGAGGTGTCTCCTGCCTTGCTGGCACCGAGGTCTCAAAGATGGGTCCATACTGGGCCCCCGCTGCCAGGGATGCAGATCCGGCCCAGTGCTGAAATATGTGCTCCTGGAGCCTCCCTCCTCTTCATGAGCCACAGGCTGTGAAAACCCCAGAGTCCTCCCAGGCAGCAAGTTTCTTTGTTTGTTTGTTTGTTTGTTTGTTTGTTTTGAGAGTCTTGCTCTGTCGTCCAGTCCAATGGCGCGATCTCGGTTCACTGCAACCTCTGCCAGCCAGCCAGTTTTCCTGGAGTAGGTGGAGGAGTCTTTGCAGAGAGATCTCCCAGGCTGCCTAGGCCTGCCGCAGAGTTGCTGTGCAACTAGGCAGTGTTTCTGTATGACCACCAAAAAAGGTTTCAGCACCCGTGGGTAGGGGAGGCAGGGGCAAATATCACTGGACGTCAGGGGGAGGATAAAATTGAACGTTTGTTAACATTGATTTTGTGCCAGAGGTGGCTACCCAGACCCATCCACTGAAGCGGTGAGGTTGGAAGGGAGAGGGGAGGCGTGAACAGGTCTGTCCAAGGTCGTTGGCAGAGCGGGGCTGTGAACTGGGTTAGCCCCCAGGCCCCTCCTGCCCATCTGTCCTCCAAGCACTGATGTGTGAGTGGGCCCCTCGGCCTTGCCAGCCCCTCGGGCTGTGGCCCTATAGTCTTTGAGGGACGGCCTCACTTCCCCTGCAGAGGCAGCCTGGCCTTCCAGTACCTCGATGGTGTAGGGCTCTGGGGCCACAGTCTGGTGTTTTCAGGACTAGGTTGTGAGTTACTTTCTCCTTTTCTCTCAACTCCCAAGATTTGGTAAAGCGGTCCTGTAGCTATACAGATATAGATATGGTCATCATGGCTATATCGATGTATTGGAAAGCAAGGTGCTTTCTGAAGTTGTGGATGTAATTCTCACACGTGGCCACAAGGTGTCAGGCTCGGGCCAGATTTGGAAATCTGCGCTTTACAGGTGGAGCAGGGTGGGGTTGGGAAGCGAGTTAAGAACGAAATTCAGCCCATCTGGGCTCATCCTAGGGACGCTGCCTCTGAAAGGGGATCCCAGCGTTCTACCCTGGGCCTCTCAGTAATAGATCTGATCTCATTTTCATGCTAATGTAGTAGTTTCCTCTCTTAGAACAAAACGGATGTTTCAGAAAGGTGTTTCCAGACCTATCCTGTGGCTTAGGCCTTAAGCTTTAGGCTGCTCACCAGGCCACAGCCCCCTGGGGTAGGAGACACCCAAAGGGAGGAATTCCTTTAGCGCCCCCTCCCAGTACTGTAATGCCAGGACAAAAGCAGGTAAGAGCCCCGGCTCCAAACACAGAGGCGCAGAACCCATGGCACCCCGACACTGTAGGGAGGTGTCCTAACTTTGCCCCCAGAGTCCCCCTCCAGAGTGCCCCAAATTGCAGAGTCCCCCTCCAGAGTGCCCCAAAATTGCAGAGTCCCCCTCCAGAGTGCCCCAAATTGCAGAGTCCCCCTCCAGAGTGCCCCAAATTGCAGAGTCCCCCTCCAGAGTGCCCCAAATTGCGGTGCCCAAGACCTTTGGGTTATGCCACTGTAATTCTAGAAATGGCCGCCAGGTGTCAGCATAAGGCCACTTAAGACACTAAATGGCGAAGGCTTGGTGTAGATTTCTGGGGGTTCCCAAGACCCTCATGCATGAACAAGGGTGAGCTGAGCCTCTCCCAGGCCTAAGAGGCAGTGGAGCAAGGAGGTTTTTCTATGTCACGTCCCTCACTCCTGCATCACAGTTTTTGTCCGTTTCGCAGTGCCTCTCACCCGTCTCCATAAAGCATGTGTACCCCCGACCTCTGCGTGGAAAATCTGTGGAAGGTAGTGCTGTGGGATCACAGCTCTCGCACCCCAACTCACTGACCCCCAATGCCTCTAGTCCTGTCTCGGTGGCACCATGGCTGAGCTGCTCCCCGGGGGCCCTTTCTATCCTGACCCCTTCTCCCTGCTCTCCTTCTGTTTACACACCCTGTGTTACAAGATCCTGATGGGATAAAATAGCCCCGGACTAGAGTGAGCTCCTCCTGGGCCCATCTAGAGGTGGACTTTCAGTCCAGGGCAGAGTTTGGATTCAAGACACCATTGTGGGACTGGGAGGCTCCAGGTTGCCAGGAGTTTGAGCCGTGGGCTGCTTCCCTTTCAACCCCTTAGTTGCCCACCTCCTCAACCTGGGGACTCTTCATTTGGGGGGCATCCCATGAAATCACTTCATCTGGCTTGGTGTCAGTCCTTCACTCTCTCTAGGTCCATCTGCAGCTTGGAAAGTCCCAGCCAAGTGTCTCCAGAGGGCTCTGGCTGTCACTCTTTGCAACATTTGGGCATCTCGCAGCAGACGCTGGGGCCCGCACGTGCTGCAGGGCCTCTAAGCTGTAGAGCTCCAAAGCAGAGCTACAGCCAGCAGGATCGAGGGCTGCTTCATGCTGACTTCCTTGTATCTTTGTTTTGTTTCTTTCCCTGAGTCTTTGTTTTGTGTCTTCTCTTCTTGCAGGCTTGAGGAAGAGGTGTCAAATCCCCAGTAAGACTTGGTCTAATCCAGTGGGTGATTCTTTCTGAACCCTCCCTGAGCTGCTGCCAGCTCCGAGTCTGTGCTTTAGCTGGAAAGACTGTGAACCCATTCAGTGCTCTGGACCTGACAGGGTCATTAGCATCCCTCCCCACCCAAAAGCCAAGTGAAAACTCCCATTTTGCCTCCTCCCATGGGAGGGCATGGCTCTGGGGCATCTACATCTTATTTGAGACATCCCCCAACACACGCGGGATTTTAATCCCCTTCAAGTCTAATTCTCTTCCCTGTTGAAATCCTTGTTATCCCCACTAGATGTCCTATTCCTCCAGCTAATGAAGGGATTTAAGATGAGGGCTTGAAAGAAAAAGGGAAAGGGGACAATTAAATGCCAACCCAGGCTAGTAAGCTAAACACACTGAAGGTGGTTGGGGTGTTGGGAGGGTGGGGACTGGCGGCTCTCTGGAAAGTACACGTCTTTGCCTCTTGCTGTGTCTTTGCTTTGTGCCTGGTCTTCCTGCAGGCTTGGGGAAGAGGTTAGAAATTTCCAGTGTGATTTAGTCCAATCTGGTGGGTGCTTCTATATGAACCCTCACCCTGCTGCTGTCAGCTTTGAGTCTGTGCTTTGATTAGAAAGGCTGCAAACCTGTCCAATCACCCCATCCAGGAATGCCTGCGCGTGCCACTTACAGCAGTATCATTAGAACTTAGTACCACACGTGGACTGCACGAGGTCAGATCAGACATGAATAGTGAGGTGGAAAACCCCCTGCTAGGTCCCTTGTCCATGGAACGTAGAAGGACATAACTGTACTAGGAACACCTAAAATCCAATTTTTCGGCTCATTCTTGAACCCTGCTTTTCCCCCCTTATTCCTCCGCCATTTTACCAGTGCCACGCCCACCAACATTCCAGGGTGTCAAGTAACTGCCAAGTGTCACTCTAAGTAGAGCTACACCCACTCCCCACTACCTCCACATAGCCCCCACCTCCTGGCTGGCAGGGGGCTTCTGGCTTATACCCATGCCCACAGGCGCCTTTCTGCCAGGTCAGAGGTGGGCCAAACCTCCATCCCCTAATGCACCATGCCCTGGTGCTGGAAAGTGCCTGAGCCAGCTGCCCCAGCGGCCTCAGCACTACCAAGTTGGCACAAAGCTCCCCAAGTTTGGAGGGGCTCAGGGAAAGGAGTGGAGGGGAAGAGGAGGTGAGGGGCGAACCCATCATTTCAGTTGGCATTTGAGCAGGTGCCATGCTCAGCAGAGATGAGGCTATCCCATCTGTAGGGGCTGCATTCACATGCACACTCTAAAAGTGCCCTTCGTTTCTCCAGCCTCAGCCTTGTCCCCCTCCTCCTCCTCCACGTCAACCTGGCCAGAGGGTCTGGACGCCACAGCCAGACCACCACCTGCTTTGGTGGCGACTGCTAATATTGGCCAGGCTGGCAGATCATCATCCAGGCAGTTTCGGCAGAGAGCCTTGGGCACCAGTGACTCCCCAGTCCTCTTTATCCACTGTCCAGGAGCTGCGGGGATTGCGCAGAGACTAGAGTACAGGTAACTGGGCTCCCATCCCTTGAGTGTGGGAGAAGAGCTGCATTTTGAGTGTTCAGGCATGGGTGGGCCCGGAGCTTGGGGCAGCTGCCAGGATCCTGGTTTCTGAAGGAGGGGAAGAATTTCTGCTGCTGGAGGGTCCAGGGAAGCCTCCTGAGAGCAGCCTCCACTTCAACTTCGGGGGTGGGGGGTGGCAGGGAAGCCTGAGAGCAGCCTCAACTTGGCGGGGGTGGCGGGAAAGGCCATTGTGGAGAGGGTTCTTCTATAGGGCTGCACAAAGCCACCGAGGCTTTTGCAAGGAAAATAGGTTTTCCTTTACTAATTCACCAAGCAAAATGGGAGGGGTAGGGGAGGAGGGCCAGGCGGCTCTTCCCAGCGGGAACACACAGCTGTCTTCACAAGTGAAAAGGGAAGAGTCTTTCTGTGTGAAAAATTTCCTCCTGTTGCATCCCCCACCCCATTCCCAGAGACAAACAGGAGACTTTGCAGAGGAGCCAGGGGCCCGAGATTCTGGTGCAGATATTTTATTTATATATATATATATACACACACACACACACACATACATACACATACATACACCATTTTAAAAGTAAAGCTTCCCTCTCTCCCACCTCCCTATGCCTCCTGACCACCAGCAAGAAATTGGACAGGAGACTGAGGAGAAAGGCTGGGAGCGGGCAACAATGCCCCTCCGTGTCCCCCCCAGGTTTAGCTTCTCTCCTCCTGATGGTGCACCTGGTCCCCCTTGCCTCCCTCTCAGCCTCCCTGGCACACAGAGGGGCCTTGGGGCCAGGGCAGTTTCCCTGGGAATTCTCATTCATGCATGAAGTTTTTCTTTCTTGCGCCCTGGACCCAGACTCCTCAGTCCACCCAGGGTGGTGTCTGTGGGGAGCGGATTCATTTCCCCAGGAAGCACAGCCACCCCTCCCTCACTGGCCTCGTCAAGGCAGAGCTGTGCATCCAGTGGCTTTTGCCGGGCCCCGCTCCTTGTCTCCTTCCAAGGTAGGAGTGTTTGGAGGTGCAGGAGGCTTTTCATATTCTGTGCTGTGACCCCTCAAGGTGGGCCATTTGTGGGCAGCCCTCCACCCCCAGTGCCAGGCGGAAGCCCATCCTGGCCCAGGACCTGGGCAGCCTGTCTAGCAGAAGGATTTCAGCCTCTCCATCAGCACCAGAACGCCCTTTCTAGGCAAACTTCTCACCACTTCTACCTTCCCTTGGACTTTGAAAAAGGGAGCTCTAGGCAGGGGAGGGGCTCGAGGGGGAGCCACTGCTCAAATCCTGACAAGGTGATCCGAAGGCAGCCAGGGGAGGGGGATGGGACAGGGCTCAGGCTTGGTGTGTATGGGGGGGCTTTGCTTTTAAAAGAGACCGGCCGGCCGCTGAGCGGTGGCTCCACGCCTGTAATCCCAGCACTTTGGAGGCGAGGGCCAGTGGCATCACCAAGGTCAAGGAGGATGCAGACAATCCTGGCTAACCACGGCGGTACAACACAACATACTCACACACACGTGGATGTGCCACACACACAAACATCCGCGGACGCTGAGGCAACAGGAGAATGGCCAGAACCGGGAAGGTAAAGGTTGGCAGGTAAGCCTGAAGATTGCACCCAAATGCACTTCCAGCCCTGCAGACCCAAGTGAGACTACTTCTCCTAAATACGTAACAAATAAAATAATGAGGTAACATACACACACATCTTTGTGCGGTGTCGCCAGGGGCCGAAGAGTCACCTACTCCGCGACTTGTGCTGGGCGGGACCACCACCAGCCCCCCCAGCCTCCAGCCGCCTCCGAATCGCTGCCGGCTCAGCGCCTGCCAGCCTGCACGCCTGAGCCCAGCCACGGCCCAGAGTGCGCAGGAGAGTCCAGTCCTCGAGGTGAGCTCGCTGGTGGCCGTGGCCCCAGGCCGACCGCCAGTGCTCCCAGAACAAGGGCTGGCAGCTCAAGTTCCAGGTACCCAACTCGCAGAGCAGAAGGTAAGCCGTCTCAGAGCCCCCCTGAAGCCATGCGCAGAGAGGCACAGGCTTCTTGTGCAGCCCGCGTCTTCAGACTGGGGGATCGCCCTGCTTCTCCAAGGCCTGTGGCTCCCAGAGAAGGACTGGTGTCGAGGTTTCTCAGGTCCACACAGCCTGGGGATCTGGAGTTCTGGTTGGGCTCCAGGTTGTCCTAGGGCCACGCGACAGGTTGGGGCCAGAGCAGGCTTCCCTGCAGTTCTCCACAGCACTGCAGGGTGCCTGCAGGGAACAGGCTCCTGGAGAGGAAACAGGCCAAGAGACGGTAGAGGCAAGTGAGAGAACCTGGGGCAGCAACGAGGGAAAGATAGCAGGAAAGGTGGATAAAAGGGGGAAAAGGGGAAAAATACTGACAGTTAGGACAATACATCGGCCAACCCAAGAAAGCTGCGCGCGGCCTGTGAGACCGCGTTTTCCCTCCGCCCAGGGCTGCTGGCCGTGGGGTCTTGCACCAATAGCCTAACCTTTCTGTCTGTCCCTATTTGTCAAAGTGGGTGACAGTCTCAGGCCTCCTGGCTGTTCAGAATTGAGGCAATAACCAGAGGCCTTCTGAGCAAAGGGCCTGAGGGGCTCCGGCGTCAGGATCCCATTGTGGTCAGGAGCCTGCGGGGCTTCCTTTGTGTGAGGAGGGTGGAAGGTGGCTAGAAAGGCCCAGCCAGTGGCCTCTGCCTCAGCCGGAGGGAGCTCTGTGGGGCTGGCTGCACCCATTCACTGGTCAGGCACTGGGGTGACGGGGGAGGCTCCAGGACTTGGGGAGCACTGGAGGTGGAGGCACATGGATTGGAGTCCCTGCACCTGCCCCATGACAGGGGCCTCCCTCGGGGCCTGCAGGGAGGGACCCAGCAGTGGACTCTTCAGGCTGGTTTGCCCAGATAGAAGCCAGGAGTGCTCTTTCAAAGCTGTCTTCAGCTTAGACACTCAATAAAACAGTAACACAGTGGCGCCATCTCAGTGCTTTGGAGCGTGTACCGTCTGAACCCCTCTCCCAGGGCCCTCTCCCAAGCACCCCAACCTGGACCCATATCCCCCACGTACTTTTGGCTTTGGGTGGGTCAAGCAACCTTTGGGTGGTCTGTGCTGCCTGGTGTGGAGGCTTCCAGTTTGGGTCCTCCGTCGGACTTCCCAGTCCAGCCGGGCTGACGCCAGCAAGCGTGTCCTTCGCCAGAGAGGGGAGCGAGCGCAAGGTCAGCGCCCTGCAGGGGGTGACGGAGGGGCGCTCTGAGGACCCTTGGAGAAAGGAACTGGGTTTGTAAACTGCTGGGCTTGGTCCCATGGACGGGTGAGCGGTTAGCTCAGAGCCAGAGCCGGGGAGGAAACGGGAATGAGAAAGACCCACCGCAGGTCGGTGAGCGAGGGGATGTGCGGCGGCCACAGGCTGAGGCTGGGGTATGGGCCAGGCTCCGTGGGGTGAGTCTGAGTCCTTGAGGGGATGTTCATTCTCTGTGGAAATTGGGTTTGCCAGTGGAGAGGAGACCAGCGCTGCCCTGGTGAGGTGCTGGGTCAGGGCTGGGGGAGGGTGCTGCTTGGGGCTAAAGTTCTTGCCAGCCAAGCTCTGGGCGGGAGGAGACCCCAGCCCCCTCCCAACACCCCTGGACTGCTGGCGGGACCCTTCCTACCTCCGGGGGCTGGAAGTAGTAGGGAAGGAGCCGGTCTTGGGGAAGAACCCGGATGCTGGTCTTGGCTAGGGGGCAGCCGGTGTGCTTTTTGAGTCCCAGGGCAACCCGGGTCTGCCCCAGCCTCCAGCCTGCCCTGGTCACTTTTGACTAAATAAGGAGAGTACTCAGCAGGCAGCCCCGTGAGGGAGGGGGAACATGTGTGTCCCCCTACTTCCCCACCTGCTCCTCCCTCCCTACAGGGCCACTACACCCTGCTGTGGACACCCCAAGGTGACCTCAGCCTTCTTCCTACCTCAAAAAGTCCAGGCATGTGTCTCCAAGCATGAGTGGTGGCTCCTTGGGGGAAGGCACCTCTGCAGGGTAGAACAAGGGGAAGAGACCCCCAAACAGGTCACTAGTGTAATTGTCCCCAGCACCCCCAAAGAGGAGGAGAGTCCACAACTCGGAACTGGGGCTCTCCCCCAGTGCCCATCCTGTCCCCAGCCTGGGAAGCAGGCGTGGAGGAAAAGGAGTGGGGAGCCCAGAGCTGGCCCTGGGGGCCCTGGTTTTGTCAATGACAGGAGCCTCAGCAACCTAGTCTGCTCTCCCAGGATCCAGGTTTGCAGACAGGCACTTTTCAAATGCTCCTCACCTCCAAATTTACAAGTCACCTTGCAGAGGAAAACATCAACACAGTCGGAGATTCTCTGCTGGAGGCTCCCTGTTCTATAGACACGGGCCGGAGCGGCCAGAGAGCTGGGAAACGGGGAGGCTGCAGAAGGCTGGTGGGAAGGGGGCCAGTGATGGGTGGGGGTAGATGGGCCAGATGTTCTTGGAATGGGACTTGGGGGTGATTGATGCAGACAGAAATTTGAAGGGGCCATTCCCATGTGTCTTGTGCTCTGGGTGGAAAATGGACTGTTTTTCATGGTGGGGGGGTTCTCTCCGTCTTGCCAAGCTAATGTGAAAGAGATGCCTCACCCTGCCCAGCTCCCCACACCTGTCCAAGGCTGTTAACTTCTGCCTCCCCAGTGCCAGGCTTTGAGATGCCCCCCTTCTAGCGGGGGTCCTCCTATGGGGTGACAATGGTGACAAGCAGTGCCCACTGTACTTGCCCCAAGATCCCACACCATTCTGCTGGTCCCCAGCGGTGCCCCCTCTCTGGCAGTCCCCCCACCCACCCTACAGGTCCCCTTAAGGCCACTGCCCCATCGCCCGACATTGCCCAATGCCAAGGGGTGACCTTGTTCCTGCTGACGGTGCGGTTGGGCGCCTGCACGCGGCTTTAATATTTGCCTTTAAGGAACTGGGCTTTCCCCAGCCTGAGTGGACAGGCTTTCCCTGAAAATTCGCTTGGAGAGAACGAAAAGAGACGCCTGGCACCCCAGCGGCGTGCAGTCCTGCACCCCCCTCCCCACCGGCCCCGTGTTTCTCATTTTCTTCCCCACTTCCTCTCCTCTTCAGTGTTACCCAAACAAAACTGGTTTCACCCTTGTTTGGTGCTGGCGAAGGCCCGAACGGCGCGCGCAAAGCTCCGAGGCGGGCCGGGGGTGGCCGCCGGGGGTGCTCCGGGCCCCCAAGCCAAGCCGGGGACTAGCCTGCCCCCGGTGGCGGCTCGGCCGCGGCTTCGCCTAGGCTCGCAGCGCAGAGGCGAGTGGGGCGCAGTGGCGAGGGGAAGCCTGCGGACCTCCCACGCGGGGACCGAGCAGGTAGCTGGGAGTCCTGGGAGCTCCCGGGAAGCAGCGTGCTGGTCGCTCCCTCGCGGCCTTTGGGTTTCTTCCTTCCACCCAGACGCCCGCTAAGCTCGGGCTGCCGCCACAAACGCGCTCTCCGTGTGGAGAAGGCAAAGAAAAAGAAAAGAAAGAAAGAAAAAACCCAAAGACCGAAAAGCAGAATTTCAGCCGGCCGTGCGCGCCAGGGCGCTCCGCGCTACCTGCCCGCGCCGCCCGCGCTCGCGTTCCCCGGGGAGGGCGCCAGTGCTCCGCGCGCGCCCCAGTCAAGGTGAATCCCGGGCAGCTCCTTCCTTCCGCGGCCCGGGAAGCTTGAGCTCAACAATTAGCCTTTGATCCTCGGGGGATCCCAATCCACTGAACAACTTCCCTGCTTTCCCCAAACTCGGACATTTTACTTGTTCTGGGATCCTCTAAATTTAAGCATTGCTTCCCAAGTCTTCCAAATATATTCAGCATTTCGACGGGTCACAAGAATTTTCTTGGACATTAATTTCCGGGGACGTCAAAACACACCAGCCCGGGCTGGCTTTTCCAGACTTACACTATGTCGCCTGGGTCCCCAGATTTGCTTTCTTCCAGGCTCTGGACAGTTTTATACACCCCTCCCCAGGTCCCACAGATTTACAGACTACTAACCCGGGTTCCCTAATTTTAAAGACGAAGCCCTTGGTCCGTGGTGGTCGCGCTGACCAATTTGCCTGGTTCCCCAGGATGTGGACAGTGCCCTTTCCACACTTGGACATTGTTCCCCAAACAAGTGGACCTTCCCCCCATAATTTTGCAAATTAACTCCAGGGTCTCCTAAGCTTACTGTTTCCCCCACATTTCCGCCCCATTCCGGGCCCCCACCCCACCCTTCCCCTTCACCTCAGCATGGGACATTTGCTACTTAGTTCTGCAAATCTATTCGCGCTAACCTGGGTTCCCTAAATTTTACACGTTGAATCCCAAGTCCCTCAGGACACTGAGCAGGGCTGGAAGGTTGGAACCCTCAGAGTATGAAAATTCCTTCCCATACCTTCCCCCAAATTCGGGCATTACACCCAGAGCACATTCAATCCTTTTCTGAATAAAAAACGACCTGCCCTCTGATTGCCTGAGTTTCATAAAATGGAGAGATTTCCCCAATGATTCCCAAAACCTATTGAGAATGTTGTGGGTGTGTGAGTCACAAAGCTTTGCGGCATTAATGTCTATGGCTCTATACGCTGCTTGGCCATGAATCAAGTCCGTTAAGTGTAGACACTGCCACTCAGGTCCCTGGAACACACTGAGCAGTTACCAGGAGGTGCTCAAGTGTGACCCAGGATTCTCCAGGTCCCCCAAATCACACAGGGTCTCACTGGTCCCTCTGGGCTAAACGAAGCACAAAAGAACCCTTTGGGCAGAGGCTATTTTTATTTCTTTTATGCCAGGTGTTGCTAACGGCCCCAGTTCCCAAACATTCTGAGCATTTTCTCTGCATCACAACATTGACTATTAAACAATTCTCTGGGTCCCAGGAGCTTCGCCACAAGAATCTTGCTTTTCCAAAATTCAGGCATTGGTCTGAAACCCCAATGGCCAGGATCACACTGGACCCTCTTCCTGGTCCCCCATACTTGGATGTTCTGGACGCGGCTCTCCAGGCCCTCTAGAAATATTCGGCATTGCCCTCGGATCAGAGGAAGGCACCGATTTCTTGGGCTCCAACAACCCACTGAGTCATCTGAAAGTTAAGCAATATTTCCTTCAAACACACTGTACACTCCCTATCACAAAATCTGAAAATTCCTAAGTCCTAAGACATAGGAACGCTGAATCTCCTTTCTCGAAAACAGACATACCTAAAACGTACAAGTCCTCCAAGGACTATGAGTGACTTCCCTAGATCTTTAGATTCAAAAGCGATTTTCCTGGAGCCCCCAAATTGAGGTATCGTCTCCCAGCCTTCCAAGCAAATTGAGATTTTTTTCCCTTCACAAAAACAATTGAGGTATTTTTTAAAATACTGATTTATGAGTCTCCTGACTTTATGATCCCTGCCCTGGGTCCCCCTACATTTAGAAAATGTTCCATGGACCCCCAAAGCACACTAAAAAATGTCCCTGGGTCCCAGAAATCCCAGGCATGAAAAAACCTGTGACCTGTAAGTTTCCTAGCTACTAACCAGGTTCCCAGACATTTAGATATCAAATCTCCATTGGGTAATTTCCAAGTGTCCCAAAAACCTGAAACGTGTTTCACTGGGGCTTCCCTAAATGCAGACACTGTCCAGGAAAATATATAGCATTTTTCTTATTTACCGAAAATAAACTAATGGAAATAATTTAAAATTTGACATAGAAAAAGAATACTGATTTTTTTGTTTGTTTTCTCCAAATGTACTGATCACTCTCCAGGCTCCCCCAAAATTTAGACAGTGCTTTCTTCCATCTCTGAAGGGCATTAAAATGTTTCCCTGAAGCCACAGTAATTATGAAAGTTACTTTTCTCCGCATGCTGCCAGCGTCCAGGCGACTAACTTGTATTCTTAAGATGTGAAAATTAATCTCAGCTTCCCTCTAACACACCAAGAATGTGTTTGGATCCCCAAAATGTGTCCCTTGCTTTCATCTGCCAATTTTAGGCAATGTGCCTCTTAGGCAAAACTCCCAATTTCATATGGAGAATTTCCTTTAACTACCCCTCCTCAAAAATTGGTCTGGGATTTCCTGGGTCCCCCAAGCTAGCTGGCCCCTATTTTAGACCTCTTTCTCTATGTTCCCAATTGCATGGAGCAAGTTCCCTCATCCCCCAAACCTGTAATCTATTTTTGTGGAGTCTCAGGTTTAGTCATTAATCAAGGTTCCCACATTAACGGAGTCCCCGGGGTCTCCTCCTCCAGGACACCCATTCGCTAAGCCCGCAAGGCAGAAAGAACTCTGCCTTGCGTTCCCCAAAATTTGGGCATTGTTCCCGGATCGACGGCCGCCCACTGCAGCTTCCCCAACCCCGCGCACAGCGGGCACTGGTTTCGGGCCTTTCTTTCTCCTACGAAGTCCCCAGAGCAACTAGGATTTGGGAAATTTCTCTCTAGCGTTGCCCAAACACACTTGGGTCGGCCGCGCGCCCTCAGGACGTGGACAGGGCTTCCCTGCGTCCAGGAAAGCGACCGGGCATTGCCCCCAGTCTCCCCCAAATTTGGTCATTGTCCTCGGGTCTTCCAACGGACTGGGCGTTGCTCCCGGACGCTGAGGACTGGCCCCGGGGTCTCGCTCACCTTCAGCAGCGTCCACCGCCCGCCACAGAGCGTTCGATCGCCCGCCGCCTGAGCTCCTGGTGCGCCCGCGATCGCAGCCTCCAGCCTCGCGGTGAGCTCCCCGCCGCGCCGGTCCCCGCCGCCTCTGCGCCCCTGCCCGGCTCCCGGCCCTCATCTGCTGCTGTCCCGCCGGTGCTGGCGCTCGTATCCGGCTGCCGCCGGAGAGGCCGGCGTGGGGCACGGGACCCGGCTGCGGACTTGAGGCTTGGCGGCTGCGCTCGCTCCGGCTGGGCGCCCCGAAATCCGCGCCACTTTCGTTTGCTTATTGCAAAGATCTCATTTGTGGGGAAAGCGGCTGGAGGGCCCCTAAGTGGGGCGGGCAGGGGGCTGCGGAAAGGGACGCGGAGGAGAGGCGCTCCCGCCGGGCGGTAAAGCGTCTCTAGCCCGCGGGCCTAGGACTCCGCCGGGAGGCGCGCGCGGAGCGCGGGCGAAGTGATTGATGGCGGAGCGAGGGGGGCGAGGGGGGCCCGGGGGGCGCGAGTTTCCGCCGGCGGCCCCTTCCCCTTGACCAGGCTTTGGCGGCGGGGGGCTGGCGGGGTGCGGGATTTTGTGCGTGGTTTTGACTTGATAAAAATCACAGTGCTTTCTTACATCGTTCAAACTCTCCAGGAGATGGTTTCCCCAGACCCCCAAATTATCGTGGTGACCCCCGAGACTGAACTCGCGTCTATGCAAGTCCAACGCACTGAGGACGGGGTAACCATTATCCGGATATTTTGGGTGGGCCGCAAAGGCGAGCTACTTAGACGCACCCCGGTGAGCTCGGCCATGCAGGTAGGATTTGAGCTGTGTTTCCCGCCCTGATTCTCTCTCCTTTGGCGGCCGGAGCCTCGGCAGGCTCCAGGCCTGGCCCAGATTCGGCCTGGCCCAGCCGGCCTTCCGTGCGTCCCGCACCTGGCGGGGGCTCCGGGGCTCCGGCGCGGCACCGGGGGGCGCTCGGGATCTGGCTGAGGCTCCAAGCGCCGCGTGGCCGGCTCCTCCTGCTAGGGCAGGTGGCGGCTGCGCGCCCCGCCCGAGCCCAGGGGCCCCCTCCGCCGCAGCAACCAGCAAGGATCCCCCGATCCAGCCCCGAGCCACCTGCATCTGCACTCAGACGGGGCGCACCCGCAGTGCAGCCTCCTGGCAGGGATCTGGGAGCCTGCCTGCCCCTGCCTGCCCGGAGACCCCAGCTCACGAGCACAGGCCGCCCTGGCACCCCAGAAACCCTAGATGGGGCCCCTGAATTCTCTAGAACGGGCATTCAGCATGGCCTTGGCGCTCTGCGGCTCCCTGCCCCCCACTCAGCCTCGTCCCGCGCACCCCCCAGCCCCCGCGACCGCCGCCCCCCCCTCAACCGGCCCCGGGCCCAGGGCCCCAGCCGCGCCCCCCCGCCCGCGCTTGGCTCGGGTTGCGGGGCGGGCCGGGGCGGGGCGAGGCTCCGCGGGCGCCCATTGGCGCGGGCGCGAGGCCAGCGAGGCCCGCGCGGGCCCTGGGCCGCGGGCTGGCGCGACTATAAGAGCCGGGCGTGGGCGCCCGCAGTTCGCCTGCTCTCCGGCGGAGCTGCGTGAGGCCCGGCAGGGCCCGGCCCCCCCCTTCCGGCCGCCCCCGCCTCCTGGCCCACGCCTGCCCGCGCTCTGCCCACCAGCGCCTCCATCGGGCAAGGCGGCCCCGCGTCGACGCCGCCCGCTGCCTCGCTGCTGACTCCCGTCCCGGGCGTCGTCCGCGGGGTCGCGCTCCGCCGGGCCTGCGGATTCCCCGCCGCCTCCTCTTCATCTACCTCAACTCCCCCATCCCCGCTTCGCCCGAGGAGGCGGTTCCCCCCGCAGGCAGTCCGGCTCGCAGGCCGCCGGCGTTGTCACCCCCCCGCGCTCCCCCTCCAGCCCTCCCCCCGGCGCGCAGCCTCGGGCCGCTCCCCTTTCCACGCTGCGTCCCGGAGCGGCCCCGTGCCGCCACCGCCTGTCTCCTCCCGAGGCCCGGGCTCGCGACGGCCGAGGGCTCCGTCGGCCCTAACCGAGCTGGGCGCCCGCGGCCCGGGTGCAGCCTCCACTCCGCCCCCCAGTCACCGCCTCCCCCGGCCCCTCGACGTGGCGCCCTTTCCTTTGCTTCTCTGTGCTCCCCGTGCCCCTCTTGGCATCTGGCCCCGGCCCCCGCTCTTTCTCCCGCAATCTTCCCTTCGCTCCCTCCCGTCCCCCCCAGTTCCCAGCCTCAGACTCCCTCCCCCCCTCACGCCCGCCCTCTCGCCTTCGCCGAACCAAAGTGGATTAATTACACGCTTTCTGTTTCTCTCCGTGCTGTTCTCTCCCGCTGTGAGCCTGCCCGCCTCTCGCTGTCCTCTCTCCCTCTCGCCCTCTCTTCGGCCCCCCCCCTTTCACGTTCACTCTGTCTCTCCCACTATCTCTGCCCCCCTCTATCCTTGATACAACAGCTGACCTCATTTCCCGATACCTTTTCCCCCCCTAAAAGTACAACATCTGGCCCGCCCCAGCCCGAAGACAGCCCGTCCTCCCTGGACAATCAGACGAATTCCCCCCCCCAAAAAAAAAGCCATCCCCCCGCTCTGCCCCGTCGCACATTCGGCCCCCGCGACTCGGCCAGAGCGGCGCTGGCAGAGGAGTGTCCGGCAGGAGGGCCAACGCCCGCTGTTCGGTTTGCGACACGCAGCAGGGAGGTGGGCGGCAGCGTCGCCGGCTTCCAGGTAAGCGGCGTGTGCGGGCTGGGCCGGAGCCGGGGCTGGGGCGGCGCGGGCTTGCGCCGGACGCCCGGCCCTTCCTCCGACTGCTCCTGGCCCGGGCCTGCGGGGCTCGGCGGGGCGGCTGAGCCCGGGGAGGAGGAGGAAAACGGGCGGCTGCGGGTCCCGTTCCCTGCGCGGAGCCCCGCGCTCACTCTGGCGGTGGAGCTGGGGGTGGGGTGGGGTGGGGGCGTCGGGAAGGGCCAAGGGAGGTGTGAGCTGTCTGCAGGGGCGACTTCCTGGTCGGTCTGTGGGTGCAGGGGGTGCTGCCGAACATGTGTGATTCGTGCCTTACGGGCCCTGGCCTCCGGGGTGCTGGGTAACGAGGAGGGGCGCGGAGCCGCAGAAGCCCACCCTGGTATGTTGACGCGGTGCCAGCGAGACCGCGAGAGGAAGACGGGGTGGGCGGGGCCAGGATGGAGAGGGGCCGAGTTGGCAGGAGTCATGGCAGACGCCACATTCGCGATATCTCCCCCACACCCCCTCTGGCTCTGTCCGCAACATTTCCAAACAGGAGTCCCCGGGAGAGGGGGGAGAGGGGCTGCTGGCCCGAGGCTAAGAAGGGCAGAGCCTTCAACCCAGAGAGAGGCCAGGGCCCCTGCCCAGTGGGCAGCGTGGAAGTTTCCATACAAGGAGGTGGGAAGGAGACCCCCCCTTCACTGCCCTGTGCAGAGATGAGCTGGGGGTGCAGGATGGGAGCCCATGGCACTTCGCTACGGGATGGTCCAGGGCTCGCGGTTGGGGGTGCAGGAGAGAAGAGACTGGCTGGGAGGAGGGAGAGGGCGGGAGCAAAGGCGTGGGGGAGTGGTCAGCAGGGAGAGGGGTGGGGGGTAGGGTGGAGCCGGGACTGGGAGGAGTCGGCTCACACATAAAAGCTGAGGCACTGACCAGCCTGCAAACTGGACATTAGCTTCTCCTGTGAAAGAGACTTCCAGCTTCCTCCTCCTCTTCTTCCTCCTCCTCCTCCTGCCCCAGCGAGCCTCCTGCTGAGCTGTAGGTAACCAGGACTGTGGACTGAGGACACCCGCTGCCATCCCACTCCAGCCTGAGGCAGGGCAGCAGGGGGCACGGCCCACGCCTGGGCCTCGGGCCCTGCAGCCGCCAGCCTGCTGCCTCTCGGACAGCACCCCCCTCCTCTCTCTTCCTCTGCCCCTACCCCCACCTGGTCTCTGCTTCCTCACCTGCTCCTTCCCTTTCCGTTCCTTCCCTTCGGCCCCCTGCTTGCCCAGGTCAGGGCTTTTCCTGGGCCCTCACCTGCTCCGCACCGCGGCAGGCATGCTTCCTGCCCTGCTTTCTGCCGGTCCCCTGACCCGGACCTCCAAGTTCGGAGTGGTGGGGCTTGTTGCGGAACCGCGGCGAGGGCTTGAGTGGCCAGCTGGCCGAGTGTGCTCTTATAATTTGGAAGCGGGTGGCAGAGGGGGCGGTGAGGGGACTGGCTAGGGTCCAGTCAAGGAGATGACCAAGGAGGCTTTCGGATCTTCGGTGCGGCTGCCCACTGCTCTTTAGAGAGGGCATGCAAACTTGTGCTTCTGTCCCATTGCCTGCTCAGTCGCTCACATAATTTATTGCATCAAAAACTCGCCTGGGTCTGTGGAGGGAAGGCTGGGGCTGCCCGCCTGGAGGGCTCCACCTTCTGCAGGGGTAGGGCCAACTTGCTGTGGTGGCCCCCCGCCTCCCACCCTGGAGTTGGTTAGCGGCCCTGTGGCCCTGCAGCCTGTGGAGGGGGTGTGTCCTAAGACTGGCCTCCCCTTCCAGATTGCACTCAGGGGAACCTGTTGTCTGACTTCCCAGGTGGCCTGAGCTGGTCTCTCCAACTCTCACGGGGAGAGTTTGGTAGCGCAAATGAGGAGATGTTCTGGAGGCCCCGGCCTTACTGGTTTGATTTGAGGCCTGGAAAGGAGGCTCTGGGCTTGTGTGTGTGTGTGTGTGTGTGTGTGTGTGTGTTTGGAGGTACCCATAGCAGACTGGAGTTGGAGAACTGGGTGACTGGGAAAACAAGGTTTCTAGAAGCATGGGTGGTGTGGTTGTGCTAACCACTGGAGTTCTGAGCCAGGCCTGGCTCAGCGGCAGACTGGAAAGGTGGAAAAGCCAGGGGAGGGGGCGGGACTGGCCCAGCGGGACCGGCCTGCCGCTTTGAGGGGGATGGTCCTCCTGGACCCCCCCTGCTCAGCTGGGGGTTGTGGGGAGGAAGGGACTGGTCCTCCTGGATGCACATGCTCTGTGGGGTGGGGTTGTCTGCCATCTTGGCTGGCGCTGGAGGCCTGAGACGTGGTGATGGGCCCCTGGGCTGGCCCTGCCCCCATGGTGTCATAGGACGGAGGCCAGGTCGGGTGTCCAGCCTGGGCCCCTGCAGCTGTGGGTGCCGCCGAAGTCCTGCAATAATGACCACGGAGATGGTCACTCCTCGTGTAAAATTACTAGTGCTTCTTGCAAATCGAAGGAACTGGGCCCTTTCTGTGTGCTTCCAGACACTTCATTCTCCAAGTGGCCCTGCGCCCTCAACTCGGCATTGTGACCTATGTGTTACTTTTGTAATGAAAATAATGTTTATAGGAAAGCCATGCTTTAAATTTTTAATTGAATTTGTAGGTTGGCCAACGGCCTCTGGTTTGGGAGGGGCACCTTTGGCCTGGGGCTTGTCCTGGCTGCCACGCTCACACCACTTCTCTCCCGCCCCCAGATACCAATGGGAATCCCAATGGGGAAGTCGATGCTGGTGCTTCTCACCTTCTTGGCCTTCGCCTCGTGCTGCATTGCTGCTTACCGCCCCAGTGAGACCCTGTGCGGCGGGGAGCTCGTGGACACCCTCCAGTTCGTCTGTGGGGACCGCGGCTTCTACTTCAGTAAGTAGTTGGGAGGGGCTTCCTCAGACCCAGTCAGGCCCCTAAAGTGACAGGTGAGGACGCCCAACCTCAAGCCAGGGGAGCACACTCCTAGGTCAGCGGCCCAGCCCCCTGCTCGGAGACTCCGACCTTCCAGCTGCGTTTCTGAGAACCTGCAGGGTCCCAGGGCATCCACACCAGCTGACTTTCCCTTCACAAGCCTCCTTCGAAGGGTGGGCCAGAGGTGTCCCCTAGACGTCGGGAGCACTTACGGGGGTCTCCCTTGGGGTCAGAATTTCTGTTGGGGGCTGTGAGCTCCCGCTGCGGAGGCGCCGCACCCCTAGGGCAGGGCTTCAGGCTCTGGAGGAAGAGCTTGCCTTTCTTCCTGCACCTTTTGGACATTTTGACAAGGGATGTGCGTTCAGTGAATGATCAGAATTAAAATCAGTAAAGTGATTTATAGAATTAAAATCAATAAAACAAGTGCAGTTGGTAGGTGGCAGGGGTGAACGGTGCATGCGCCTCCTTGGGCCCCAAGGCCGCCATGGAGGGTGCCCACCTGCTGACCTCAAGGACGATTCAGCCTTTCCTCATGTTTCTCTCTTGGTTTTCCGGCCTGGGGGTTGGCGGGTGGGTGCACAGCTCATTGTGCTTGAGACCCCGCCCCCAGATGGGGGGCTGGGTGGATGCAAAGGCAGGCATGGTGCCTAGGCATGCCTGATGGGGCAGGGGAGGGGCCACTTCTCGCTGGCCGGGACCACACGGCTTATTCCACCTGACACTCACCACATCTCATCTTTACCACTTACTACTTACTCACGCTGTGCAATGGACTCACAGGATGCAAATGCACTTCAAAGCTTCTCTCTTAAAAGTTCCTGCTGCTTGACTCTGGAAGCCCCTGCCCGCCCTGGCCTCTCCTGTGCCCTCTCTCTCACCTGTCCCATTTGGGGATAGGAAGTGGCACTGCAGGGCCTGGTGCCAGCCGGTCCTTGCCCAGGGAGAAGCTTCCCTGCACCAGGCTTTCCTGAGAGGAGGGGAGGGCCAAGCCCCCACTTGGGGGACCCTGTGATGGGGCTCCTGCTCCCTCCTCCGGCTGATGGCACCTGCCCTTTGGCACCCCAAGGTGGAGCCCCCAGTGACCTTCCCCTTCCAGCTGAGCGTTGCTGTGGGGGAGAGGGGGAAGACGGGAGGAAAGAAGGGAGTGGTTCCATCGCGCCTCCTCACTCCTCTCCTCCCGTCTTCTCCTCTCCTGCCCTTGTCTCCCTGTCTCAGCAGCTCCGGGGTGGTGTGGGCCCCTCCAGCCTCCTAGGTGGTGCCAGGCCAGAGTCCAAGCTCAGGGACAGCAGTCCCTCCTGTGGGGGCCCCTGAACCGGACTCATATCCCACACATTTTCCAAATCACCCCAGTGTGGGCCTTTGGTCCTGGTGGTGTCTGTCTGGCCATGGGACCAAGAGCTTGTGCCCATTTTTCATCTGAGGAAGGAGGCAGCAGAGGCCACGGGCTGGTCTGGGTCCCACTCTCTTCCCCTCTCACTTCTCTTCTTCCTGGGATGCCTCTGCCTGCCAGCTCTCACTTCCCTCCCCTGACCCGCAGGGTGGCCTCGTCTTTCCAGAGCCTGGCCTGAGGGCAGGGGTGGTTTGCTCCTCCTTCGGCCTCCTGGGGCAGGGGGCAGCGCGGTGCTAACATGGCTCTCTCTGTGCTGTGGGACTTCCAGGCAGGCCCGCAAGCCGTGTGAGCCGTCGCAGCCGTGGCATCGTTGAGGAGTGCTGTTTCCGCAGCTGTGACCTGGCCCTCCTGGAGACGTACTGTGCTACCCCCGCCAAGTCCGAGAGGGACGTGTCGACCCCTCCGACCGTGCTTCCGGTGAGGATCCTGGGCCCCTTCCCCACTCTCTAGAGATAGAGAAATAGGGTTTCGGGCGCCCAGCACTGCCTGTGGCCTCTGGGACCCCTTGGCCAGGGACAAGGACCCGTGACTTCCTTGCTTGTTGTGTGGCTGGGGAGCAGTTCAGACGCTGGCTCCTTCTGTCCCCCTGCCTGTGGACGTTAGCTCGAGTTGCTGATCAGTCACGGGGGTGACCTGTCAGGTCAGGCGGGTGGCTCGGGCGGAAAAGCGTGGAGAGCAGGCACCTGCTGACCAGCCCCTTCCCCTCTCAGGACAACTTCCCCAGATACCCCGTGGGCAAGTTCTTCCGATATGACACCTGGAAGCAGTCCACCCAGCGTCTGCGCAGGGGCCTGCCTGCCCTCCTGCGTGCCCGCCGGGGTCGCGTGCTCGCCAAGGAGCTCGAGGCATTCAGGGAGGCCAAGCGTCACCGTCCCCTGATTGCTCTGCCCACCCAAGACCCCACCCACGGGGGCGCCTCCCCAGAGATGTCCAGCAATTGGAAGTGAGCAAAACTGCCGCAAGTCTGCAGCCGGCACCACCACCCTCCAGCCTCCTCCTGACCAGCGACGTTTCCATCAGGTTCCATCTCCAAAATCTCTCGGTTCCACTTCCCCCCCGGGGCTTCTCCTGACCCCAGCCCCCGTGCCCCGCCTCCCCGAAACAGGCTACTCTCCTCGGCCCCCTCCATCGGGCTGAGGTCCACAGCAACATCTTCAAACATGTACAAAATCGATTGGCTTTAAACACCCTCCCTCCAAATTATCCCCAATTATCCCCACACATAAAAAATCAAAACTTTAAACTAACCCCCTTCCCCCCCACCACAACAACCCTCTTAAAAATAATTGGCTTTTTAGAAACACCAGAAAAACTCAGAAATTGGCTTTAAAAAAACAACAACCAAAAAAAAAAAATCAATTGGCAAAAAAAAAGTATTAAAACGAATTGGCTGAGAAACAATTGGCAAAATAAAGGAATTTGGCACTCCCCACCCCCCTCTTTCTCTTCTCCCTTGGACTTTGAGTCAAATTGGCCTGGACTTGAGTCCCTGAACCAGCAAAGAGAAAAGAAGGACCCCAGAAATCACAGGTGGGCATGTCGCTGCTACCGTCATCTCCCTTCTCATGGGAATTTTCAGGGTAAACTGGCCATCTCAAAATAGCAACAACCCAGACTGGCTCCTCACTCCCTTTTCCATCACTAAAAATCACAGAGCAGTCAGAGGGACCCGGTGAGACCAAAGGAGGGGAGGACAGAGCATGAAAACCGAAATCCATGCGAATAAAATGTAATTGGCACAACCCCACCCCCAAATCTTATATCTCAATTCCCATCCTAAAAAGCACTCATACCTTATGCATCCCCGCAGCCACACGCACGCAACACACAGCACACACACACACACACACAGCAAACACACACAGCATACACGCACACACAGCACACACACGCACATGCGCACACACAGCACATATGCACACACAGCACACACAGCATACACGCACACACAGCACATATGCACACACAGCACACACAGCATACACGCACACACAGCACACGCACACAGCACACACAGCATACACGCACACAGCATACATGCACACACAGCACACGCACACACAGCAGACACGAACACAGCACACACACGCACACAGCACACGCACACAGCACACACGAACACAGCACGCACACAGCATACACGCATACACAGCACGTGCACACACAGCGCATACACACAGCACACACATGCACACACAGCACACACACGCACACAGCACACACACACACAGCACACACACATGCACACACAAGCACCCACCTGCGCACACACATGGGCACACACGCACACCCCCACACAATTGGATGACAACAATAAGCATATCTAAGCAACTACGATATCTCTACGGATTAGGCCAAAGTCCCGCTAAGATTCTCCAAACTGTTTTCATGGTCTGAGCCCCGCTCCTGTTCCCATCTCCACTGCCCCTCAGCCCTGTCTGTGCCCTGCCTCTCAGAGGAGGGGGCTCAGGTGGTGCCTGAGTGTGCGGCCCGCGGCGTTTGGGATGCGCCCATAGGGTGGGCGGGGTGTGTCCCAGGCGTAATTCCATCTTTCCACCATGAGAGAGGTGCCCTTGCGAGGCTGGCCTCGTTGGCGCCTGTCTCCGCGGCCCCCGCAGTGTGAGCCACGATGCTCCCCATGCCCCACCATCCCGATACACCTTACTGTGTGTCGACCCAGCCAGAGTGAGGAAGGAGTTTGGCCACAATGGAGATGATGGTAGCCGAGCAGACATGCCCCCACGAGTAGCCTGACTCCCTGGTGTGCTCCTGCAAGGAAGATCTTGGGGAACCCCCACCGGAGCACACTTAGGGATCATCTTTGCCCGTCTCCTGGGGACCCCCCAAGAAATGCGGGGTCCTCAGGAGCCGTGCACTGATGCGGGGAGTGTGGGAAGTCTGGCGGTTGGAGGGGTGGGTGGGGGGCAGTGGGGGCTGGGTGGGGGGAGCTTTGGGGTAGGAAGTGGTCCCTGGAGATTTTGGATGGAAAAGTCAGGAGGAGTGACGGCAGACTTGCGTAGAGAAATTAGGAACCCCCAAATTTCACGTCAATTGATCTATTTCCCCTCTTTGTTTCTTGGGGCATTTTTTCCTTTTTTTTTTTTGTTTTTTTTTTTTGATCCCTCCTTAGCTTTACGCGCTCAGAAACCAAATTAAACCCCCTCCCTATGTAACAGGGGGGCAGTGACAAAAGCAAGAATGCACGAAGCCAGCTTGAGACCATCACGTCCTGCCCTCCGCCATTTATCGCCCTGATTGAATTTTGTTTTTATCTGTCCCTGTTGCTTGTGTTGGGTTGAGGGTGGAGCCTCCGGGGGGGGCACTGGCCACTGAGCCCCCTTGGAGAAGTCAGAGGGGAGTGGAGAAGGTCACTGTCCGACCTGGCTTCTGGGGACAGTGGCTGGTCCCCAGAGGTCCTGAGGGCGGAGGGGGGAGTGGGCAGGGTCTCCTCAGGTGTCAGGAGGGTGCTCGGAGGCCACAGGAGGGGGCTTCCGGCTGGCCCAAGGCTGGCCGGAGGGGAAGGGGTTGCAGGTGTGTAGACAGAGGATTCCATCAGGCTGGTGCAGGGTGGCCGCCTTCCGCACACTTGAGGAGCCCTCCGCTCTCCCTCGGTGGCATCTTGCCCGCCCCTCAGCACCCTGCCTTGTCTCCAGGAGGTCCGAAGCTCTGTAGGACCTCCTGGGGGCAAGGTGGGGTGAGGTCGGAGAGTAGGGAGGTCAGGCAGGTCTGAGCCCACAGAGCAGGAGAGCTGCCAGGTCTGCCCATCGACCAGGTTGCTGGGGCCCCGGAGCCCGCGGGTCTGGCGATGCCGAAGCAGCCACCACCGCGGCGCCTAGGGCTGTGGCAGGGACTCGGCGTCTGGGAGGTTTACCTCGCCCCCACTTGTGCCCCCAGCTCAGCCCCCCTTGCACGCAGTCCGACTAGAAGTCTAGAGGCCCGAGGCTTCTGGGTCCTGGCAACGGGGCTGGCATGACCCCGGGGGTCGTCCATGCCAGCCCACCTCAGTCGCAGAGGGTCCCTCGGCAAGTGCCCTGAGAGTGGGCCATTCGGAACATTGGACAGAAGCCCAAAGAGCCAAATTGTCACAATTGGAGAACCCACATTGGCCTGAGATCCAAAACACTTCGAGGCACCCCAAATTACCTGCCCATTCGTCGGGACGCCCACCCACCCAGTGTTATATTCGGCCTCACCAGAGTGGGTGTCCCCGGGGCACCTGCCGACGGACCCCCTGCACCCCCAGGTTTGCAGCTCTCCCCTGGGCCACTCACCATCCTGGCCCGGGCTGCCTGCCTGACCTCCGTGCCTGGTCGTGGCTCTCCATCTTATCTCCTCCCCGTGTCCCCAATGTCTTCAGCGGGGGCCCCCTCTTGGGTCCCCTCCTTTGCCATCAACTGAAGACCCCCACGCCAAACACTGAATGTCACCTGTACCTGCCGCCTCAGTCCACCTTGCGGCCCGTGTTTGACTCAACTCAGCTCTTTTAACGCTAATATTTCTGGCAAAATCCCATGCTTGGGTTTTTGTCACTAACCTGTTAACGCTTGCAATCCCAATAAAGCATTGAAAGCCATAATCTTCTGAGTGTTCCACTCTTTGACTAGGGTACCGGATTGCGGGAGGGAGGGAAGGGGCTGAGCACCTGGGAGCGGGCAGAGGGGCATAGGAGAAGAGGGGAGGGGAAGGAAAGCCTTAGGGGTGTGGACACCTCCCTCTGTCCCCTGATCACACACATGGGAGAAACGAGAGCGGTTGGAAGCCAGACTCATACTCATGGTTGTGCACCTGAATCCAGGGGGTCTGGGACAGTTTCAGGCCCCAAGTTCTCAAAGATGGGAGTGCCACGAGGATAGGAACCTGGGGGGCTTTTTCAGAGAAAAAGCAAAGTACCATCACTACCAACTCCAGGGAATGCCCCCTCCCCACCAACCTTGGAGGACTGGGGCTGGGCAACCTCTGAAAGGTTTTGGAAATCGTAGCTATTGCTGGAGATGGGGGCTCAGGGCCACTCCCACCCAGGCACTCAGCCCCCTCCCTAGATTGAGGCTGCCCATATGTCATTGGTACCACTGCCTCCTGCCAGGGCTCAGTCTATGCCCACCTGTCCCAAGGGTGCTGGCCTCTAGCTTTCAAGGGTCCCTGAGCATGGGAGGAGGGGTAGGCTGGGCTGCTGGGAGCCTGGCCCAGCCTCTTCTCTCCATCCCCCTCCAGGAAATTTCCAGCAGCCTTGGGCAGTGGATCTGTCTCTGCCCACCCCACTGTGGGGATGGAGGGACAGGAGCACCACAGTGGAGCCCAGAAGCATGCCCCCGGCCCTGCAGCCTTCAGTGCTGGGCAGGCAGTGGGGAGGGGCCTGACTGGGTTGGGGGCATGTTTGCATCCTGGCACCCGGGGATTCTGTCCCTGGTCAAGCCCTGTCCCTTGATGGCTGCCTCTGTCCCTAGTTTCTCCTGTGCCGGGTACTGGAGGGTGCTGGGCTGTCACCCAAGCCTCTGGGGCCTGAGGACACATCTACACGGACGGTGTCACTGCCCACACCATCTGAGAACCACTCCAAGGGAAGGGAGAGGGTAGGCAGTGGTTTGGGGAGTTGCCTGGAGGAGGTGGGATTCGCCTTGAAAATGAGGAGGGCTGGGGGTTGGAGAAGAGCAGATTGGATGTGGGGGGCACCATGCCCTTCCCGGGCTGGTCCCTGGCTCTGTACCTCAGTGCTAGGGCTAAGCTGGAGGGCTCAGGGCCCAGGTGGCATTGCTGACCCCCAGGGAGTCAGGGTTGCTCTGAGGCCCTTCTGTAGGTGTAGATGGAGCCCTAGTCCTGTCCACCTTCCTGAGGCCAGCTGGAGTTTCTTTCCCTGCAAGCTCAGGAAGCCCTGCCCCTTGCCCCTCCCCCAGCCCTGCAGCCCCCTAGGCCCATGCAGGGCCAGCCTCATGGTCTCCCTTCCTCTCTGGATCTGCTTCAGGGCCTAGCGTCCAGCCCCATGAGCCTGGGCCTTCCTGCTCCTGCCCGCACTGGCCCCAGATCACTTCAACACTGGTTCTCCCTGCACCCTGGGCCTGCTTAGCCACTCCTGCCCACGCCCGGGAGCTTCTCTGCAGCTTCTTTCCTTTCACTTGCAGCCTGGCTGCCCTCTGCTTACCCAGAACCCTTGTGACCTCTCCTGACCTCTCTGCAGAACCAGGCAAAGCCACTCACCCCAGTTCTCTCGGGATTAGCCTGGTCTCTCGCCACCCACTCAGGGCTGCCCAGCCTTCATCCTGCTCCCCTGGGCCCAGCCTCATTCCAGGGGTTCTGAGACTGCAGGGCCCTCTCTTCTCCCCTCTCCCTGCTTTGCAAATTCTCAGTTCATCCTGGCAGCTCCAACTCTCCATCCCTCCACCCATCCAACCACCCATCCCTCCACCCATCCATCCATCCACCCATCCATCCACCCATTCATCCCTCCACCCATCCCTCCACCCATCCATCCACCCATCCCTCCACCCATCCCTCCACCCATCCATCCACCCATCCATCCACCCATCCATCCACCTGTCCATCCACCTATCCCTTCACCCATCCACCCATCCATCCCTCCACTCATCCATCCACCCATCCATCCACCCATCCACTTACCCACTCACTCACCAACTCATCCATCCACTCATCCATCTACCCCCCCAACCATCCACTCACCATCCACCCATTCACCTGTTTATCCATCCCCTCCACCCACTTACCACTCACTCACCCACTCATCCATCCATTTACTCACCCCTCCATCCGCCTACCCACTCATCCATCTATTCATCCATCCTCCACCTACTCACCCACTCACTAACCCACTCACCCATTCACCCATCTTTTCATCCACC